CCTGTGATTGACCCCTGTGCCAGGGCTGTGTGGAGGGCAGCTATCAACAGACCCCTGTGCATAAGAACAGAGCAGGGGCCATGGACACTTGGTTTTGCACACGTTAGCTGCTCCTGGGAGGTTCACTGGTGGAAGAGTAAATGAGCACAAACCAGCCTGTTGTGTGTTAGTGAAAAGGAGGCTCATGCAAATGCTGGTTGAGTTTTTCTAAGGCTACATGAATGGCACTACAATGCTGATAAAAATAATAACAAACTGTCAGATTATTTGCCTTTATTCTTTTTTTTTGTGAAATAACTTTTATTTTATTTTTTATTTATTTTTTTATTATTATTATACTTTAAGTTCTAGGGTACATGTGCATAACGTGCAGGTTTGTTACATATGTATACTTGTGCCATGTTGCTGTGCTGCACCCATCAACTCGTCAGCACCCATCAACTCGTCATTTACATCAGGTATAACTCCCAATGCAATCCCTCCCCCCTCCCCCCTCCCCATGATAGGCCCCAGTGTGTGATGTTCCCCTTCCTGAGTCCAAGTGATCTCATTGTTCAGTTCCTACCTATGAGTGAGAACATGCGGTGTTTGGTTTTCTGTTCTTGTGATAGTTTGCTAAGAATGATGGTTTCCAGCTGCATCCATGTCCCTACAAAGGACACAAACTCATCCTTTTTTATGGCTGCATAGTATTCCATGGTGTATATGTGCCACATTTTCTTAATCCAGTCTGTCACTGATGGACATTTGGGTTGATTCCAAGTCTTTGCTATTGTGAATAGTGCCGCAATAAACATACGTGTGCATGTGTCTTTATAGCAGCATGATTTATAATCCTTTGGGTAGATGTACCATATGACCCAGCCATCCCATTACTGTGTAATTGCCTTTATTCTAATCCCAAGCCTCTTACAAACTGTGTGACTATGGGCAAGCTTGGTAAGTTGCTTAACCTCCCTGAACCTCATCTTTTCACTTTTAAAAGGGAAAATACTGGAATGTGCTATAAAATCCAGTGCCTAGCACAATGTCTGGCACATAGAACAGCCTCAGTAAATGTTTCATGCTCAAAAGAATGAAATATGGAGATTGTGCTACTTATTTTGCATCTCCTGTAGCACCTAACATGTTTTGGATTGTGTGTGATTAACAAATATTTGTGATTTGGGTTTGTCTTTGTAATTAAGAATAAGGACCTGCCCCATAAAACAAAACAAAACAAAACAAACACTAGCCCTCTTAAACACGGAGAAACTCCTGTCAAGAGAGCCTGTGATTTTACTGCACGGACCCATGGGGAGTTGTGGTATTGGAATTAATAACAAAGATCTGTTAATTCTCTGCCTTTGCCCAGGCTGCCTTCCAAGGCGTGATGTGGAATCCTGCTGTTTCTGCTCCAGATAAATCAATGATAATCTTCAACTCAGTGAGGGGCAAGTCATGGGGGTTGCTGTTGCAACTCCTGTGTCAACAGCACTGCTAAAAATCAGATTTCTTGGAACCCATTCATGAGAAGCTTAGAATATGCCAGATTGCTTGCTGGGCCTAAAATACTGCATGCATGTGGCGACCGTGACTTGGTTGTTTCCATGAATCCTCTTTTCCCTTAAGCCATGGGCAACATTTCCAAGTCACATGGCAGGGGTAGGGCTTCCGTCCTTAACAGTATTTTCACTAATGTTTATGGCCTAGGCCTGGCCTGTTCACTATGTACCACTCACTTCCTGGCACGGATTCTGTCCCAACAGGAGCAGAGAAGGCTGGGAAGGAATGGGGAGGGTGGGGTGCCTGTGCCCTCTGAGGACTGGTACCTTTCTTTTGCCTTCTTGATACCTTCTCTGGGGCAACTTTTGGGTAGGAGAACTTTTTATCCGACTTTCTATTTACTCATCTGTTTGTTTATTCCTTTATTCACTGCTTATTTAACATGCTCAAAGGAAGCCCACGCTGAATGGGAAGCACTGTGGTGATTCTGGGGGAGCACAGAGAGGTGAGATGTTGAAGGGCTGAATGTAGGCAGAGAAAAAAAAAAGACATCAATCTAACAACTGCTATCCCCAAATGCTAAGTGATTATCTCCAGATGGCAGAGTTACGAGTGGTTTTTATTTTATTCTGTTTCTTTATTTATGTTTCCAATGTTTTTCTTCAGTGACACACATTAGTATTTGTATAATAAAAGTTATTCAAATGGTAAGTACGTGGTCAACAGGTGTTCAGTGCACAGGGAGGTACAGGTGAAGACACTGGGAGGGTGGAGAGGAGGAGAAGGCTATTTCCCATCCAAGTGGAGCTGAAAAGGATTCTGGAGAACTTTTGTTGAATAGGGCCTTAAAGTTGGAGGGAGGCCTTGCTGTGGATGTCTGTGGGATTGTCTGCCTACCACTCTCCTCTCACGTGAAAGTATCCTCTCCCAACAGCCCACAGGAACTGTGCGCTATAAGCTTGCCCTCGCCCTGCTTTGCTTGACAGTCCAGTGGTGGGCGCCTAACCAAGGACAGCCACTCATTAGTCTTACCTGGAATTTTCAGATTTAAAGCTGGCAATATCTTTAGTGAAAGCCTAAAGAGGTTAAATTCAGGAGCTTCATGTATGTGGGTGTGGCAGGGAGGGATTTGGGCAGCCGTGTTTCCTGCAATGTGGATGAAATCATTACACCATGAGAGAGAACGAAATAGGCACCTGGAGAGAAGTGGAGAGAAGAGGTGAGAGCAGGAGAGTCGTCGTGAACTCTGAGCCCCTGACTCCAGGTATTCCCAAATATCAGCTGTGCCCTCCTTTTCCCTAGCTCATAGGAGTTGGGTTATGAACTTGCAACCAATGTATCCTGTCTAAGACAGATGTCGCTAAGTGGAGAGAAGTGGTAAAGGATAGTGGTAGAAATCAAAGGACATGTAGGGAGCAGCTAGCTGTTGCATTTGCCTGGAAAGTGGGTGGTAAGTTTGTGAGTCTGTTGAGAGGGACTGAGTTAGTATGTGTGGTCACCTGTAAGGATGGCAGGGTTCATATTTCAAGGTTTGAGTTTCTAGCCCTCTGCAGCATCTCACACTTCTCTCAGACCTCAAAAGGCTACAGTTCTATGACCAGCTACCGGGACCGATCTGCCTCCTCCAACATGCACCCCAAAGAAACTGGGGATGTAGTCACAGTGAGATCCTAAGCCAGGGAGTCCCTAAGTGAAGTCCAGCCTTAATGTGGACATGCTTTGCTTCTTCCAGGGGCCACTTAAAGTTGGAAGTGCAGGAATCGTACCCGCTTCTCCTCCTTTTCTGCAGCTTAGACTGAATTTCAGTCTCTCTTCATGATCTGACCATCTTGTGAGCTGTCACTGCAGCCAAACTGGCTCATTTATATATGTTCTCTCCTCTCTCCTTTGGGACCAACTCTGCTGGGCCTGCTAAGTGAAGGGTTAAGAAAAAGAGGTAAGGAAGACTCTGGATAACACACTAATTAGCTAAACCTTCCCAGGAACAAGAGAACATCAGCCACACAGTATCACATAGCTCTTTAAGAAAAGCCCTTGTCTGAAAGTTGGAGGGTCTCATCTTGGGGTACAGCAGGAAAGCTAGACACAGAATTCAGAGTTGAGGCATACTTTCGGCCCTCTTATTCTACAAATGCTTTCAATAAACGAAGGATATGTCAAGAACCCAGGCCCTGGACAATTTTAGCCATGTCACACTGACAACTGGTATACTAAAGCAATTTCGGTTCCTCATCATCTGTCTCCATCTTTAGCATCTTGACTCAAACCATGCCCAGGAAGAGTGTTCAGAGAATACAGGCTGCCACACAGATCAGGCGTTTCTCTCCAGGCTCCAACACACATGCTCAGCCTGGATCAATAAGCCTGACTGTGTCTCTCTGGCTGGGATGGGAAACTGTCTGGACACACAGGTGGAGGCAGCAAGACCCCATGGGCTGTGTCTGTTTTATGCTTACCCAGTTACCTTAGCAACAGCATCTGCACCAGGACACAAGAGGAAGCAAAGCACCACCTACCAATGCCCCCACTGAGAGGCATGGGGAGTAAAGTAAAAACCGGCCTGGAATCAGGAGGCTTCGCTTCCTGGCCTCTCTGCTGGCCACTGGCTGGCTGCCCTTATCAAATCTCCTCACCTCCTGGGCCTGTTGTGGGCAGAAATGGGGCTGAGGGCTCTCTAGCTGGTTCAAGGATGCTGTTGAGGAGCATAGTCTCGGTGAGAAGACCCTACTGTTTGTGCTCCGAGTAGCTTCAAGCGCAGGAACTGTGTCAGCAAACAACTGTTTTTTAGCTAGTCTTCCACAACTTAACTTTTCAGTCTCCACCTGTGATGCAGAAAATGTTTGCTGACCAAGCAGATGATTGAGCTGCAAGAAGTCCTCACCAGGATGGACATTCCTTCAGTTGAGGTAGGAGGTAAACCTGGCTTCGGTCCTTGAAGGCTCATGGAGAAGAAAAGAGATTGAGGTGGTCAAAAATAATTATGAGCACTTCAACTCTACAATTACATGTAGTAATAATAATGATAATAAAACTAGGACCTCCATTGTGATCTCTTCATGTCTGCTCTTGTCACATTCTCATAACCAGCTGTGAGGGAGGCAGAACAGAAATTATGACCTTCTTGCTGCAATGGAGGACACCAAGGCACAGGGAGGCCGAAGACCCTGGGGCCGCCTGGGTGATGATGGCTGAGCTGGATCTGGACTGTGCGTCCTTTTCCTCCTTATCCCAGGACCTTTTTACTGGACATGACTCATGACAGCTATTATGAAGCAGAAACATCTTCCAACTTTGTTTGTGCAACCACTTTTAAACTTGATGCATGTCAGAGCACTTCTCTGAAGAAGGAAGAAAACTAAGATGGATTCATTCAACAAATAATTGTGCTGAGCACTCACTTTGTGCCAAGCACCTGGGATTCAAAAATGAACAATATGTGATCTCTACTTCCCAGCAGTTCAATTGATTAGATAAGTCTTTTTGCTTATTTAAATTTCTCATTTTGTATTGCATAGAATCACCGACCAAAAAGTGACATCCCCATCCTGCAACTATTTTTGTATCCCCACGAAATTCCACGGGGCTGCATCCACTGATAGGAGAAGGCACACTTCTAAAATCAGGAGAGGGTATCCAGGAACAAGGAACAAACATGAAAAACGGTAAGCAAATGCTAAAACCACTCCTGGCTCTGGGAGGGGCTTGGACTACGGGGAGATGAGAGAGGCCCCTTGGCTTGGTGCAAAAGTGCTTCCAGGAAAGAAGCTGGGAGGTGCTTCCTGGACAAAGGCTGAGGGACTGACAGGGAGTCAGAGAGGCAGCCCCAAGAGCCACTACACACCACGATCAGATGCTGGAAGGAAACCCAAAGCCCATTCTTTGAACACACACAGTCATTGAGGTCCTGTTTCCACAGATGAGAGCTTGGGACCACACCCCACCCACAGCAAATCCTTTTCTGAATTGATATGTAGAATCTTAAGGGCAGAGGCTTAAAGCTCCAAGCTAGCTTGACAATGGGCTAAATCCTGTCACTAAATCTCAAAAAAACCTTTTTATCATTTTACCTCTTTCCCTAGACTGGACCCAACCATGCCTGGTCCTATGAACAGAAAAAGTATTCAAGCCGCTCTCTTAAAGCAGCTTTTATCGCCTCAGTGAAGTGGCAGTTTGGGGACAAATGTCGCACATGAAGAACGCAAATGTTCCAAGCCTAAATAGGGTTCTAGCAACACACTCTTAACTCACAGAAAACAACCTCTAACTTAGGTTTCTACTTTCCTTTGCAGAATCCGTAGCCTGGCCACACTGGTTTTAACTCCACAGGCCTGAAGACGCAAGCAGAAGAGACTCAGGAAAGCCAAGGACTGAGCGAATTCACAATGCAAGCAGGAACATCAGAAGGCAAATTAGGGCCCACATGGTTTCGGTTTTAATGTTCTTCGTTTTGTTTTGTATTTTTCTTTAGAGATGGCATCCTGCTCTGTTGCCCAGGTTAGAGTGCAGTGGCTCGATCATAGCTCACTGCAGCCTTGAGCTCCTGGGCTCAAGCAGTCCTCTTGCCTCAGCCTCCTGAATAGCTGGGACTACAGGTATGTGTCACTGAGCCTGGCTTGTTGTTTTGCTTTCTAAGACCACATTTACATTAGCCCATCTATTGTTCAGAGTCTTGCTGTGTTGCCCAAGCTGGTCTCAAACTTCTGGGATCAAGTGATCCTTCCGCTTCAGCCTCCCAAGTAGCTGGGATTACAGGTGTGTGCCACTGCGTCCAGCTTAGCCCATCTTTTTTGTTGTTGTTTTTAAATTTTACTCTAAGTTCTGGGATACATGTGCAGAATGTGCAGGTTTGTTACCTAGGTATACATACATGTGCCATGGTGGTTTGCTGTACCTATCAACTCGTCATCTAGATTATAAATTCTGCATGTATTAGGTACTGGTCCTAATGCTCTCCCTCCCCTTGTCCCCTACCCCCTCACAGGCCCCGGTATGTGATGTTCCTCGCCCTGTGTCCATGTGTTCTCATGTTTCAACTCCCACTTATGAGTGACAACACGCGGTGTTTGGTTTTCTGTTCCTGTGTTAGTTTGCTGAGAATGATGGTCTTCAGCTTCATCCATGTCCCTGCAAAGGACATGAGCTCATTCTTTTTTATGGCTGCATAATATTCCATGGTGTATATGGGCCACATTTTCTTTATCCATTCTATCATTAATGGACATTTGGGTTGGTTCCTATCTTTAAAACAATGAAGAAATGCTATAAGAGCCAGGCCATTGGGCTAAAAGTGGAGTTGAATTATCTCCATGTTATAAACATAAAAAATTAGACCCAGAACTTGAAAGAGGTCTTAGAAATAATCTAATTTATTGACGTTATTTTTCAGTGAACAGTCTGAGGCCTCAGTCATACTGATAGTAAGTATGACCAGCTACCACTTAAAGATCTCCCACTCAGAATCCGGCACTGGGTAAGGATCATGTAATGGTTTGCCAGGGCTACTGTAACAAAGCACCGCAAACTGTGTGGCTTAAACAACAGAAATGGATTGTTTCACATGTCCAAGATCAAGGTGTCGGCAGGGTTGGCTCCTTCTGAAGACTGGCAGGGAAGGATCTGTTCCATGCCGCTCCCTCCCAGCTTCTAGCAGTTTGCTAACAACCTTTGGCATTGCTGAGCTTGTGGAAGTGTCACCCTGAGCTCCGCCTTCGTCTTCACGTGGTGCTCTCCCTGTGTGCATGCCTGCCTCTGCATCCAAATTTCTCCTTATTATAAGGACACCAGTCACTTGGGAGTAGGGTCCACCCTAATGACTTCATCTTAACTAATTATATCTGCAATAACTCTATTTCCATATAAGGTTCTATCCTGAGGTACTCAGGTTAAGACCTCAACATATGAATTCTGGAGGACACAATCCATCCCAGAAGTCTACTTTGTATTGGGTCCTCACGGCAAGGCTGCAAACCTGGGGGGTTCGTAGCCCAGTCCCACCTCCCACGAGCTAATGAATGTGGGTAAGTTGTTTAACCTCCTTGTGCCTCAGTTTCTTCATCTGTAAGATGGGGATAACACAGGCCCACAATTTTGAAATGTTAAAAGCTCCAAAATATGAAAAAATGTATTTATAACTCATTTGGCAGCAAAACCTGACCTGAAACAAGCACATTGACTGAAAGTATCCTTGTGTCTTGAGTTGACACAAGGATACTTATAGTCTTTACTTATGCAACATATATATGTGTCACTACAGAAACTAGAAACATCAGTATATTTCATAACAGGAAGCTGTTGCAGATGCCATGAGGTGTTATGAAGCCTATGGTACATATACTGTATATCTTTCTCAAATCCCCAAGTTCTGACATGCCAAGCACTGCTGGTCCCAAGCAAGGGTTTGAATAAGGGACTGTGACTCTTCAGTGTATCTATCACAGGGTTATAACGAGGATTAAATGACTTAATGTTTGTGCAGTGCATAGACTATTACCTGGCACATAGTAAGCACTATATACATATTTTTTAAATAAAATAACAATAGCTATCTTGTCTAAAGTAACTCAGGTGGAAGGCTAGAGAGGAAGGTTCTTTGAGACTTTGAGTGCAGGAATGCCTGACAAGAAGCCGTGCTGTCTGTGTGTGTCATGCTGCCTCTGCGACTCCAGGTCTGGGGCTCATGTCCTTTGGTTCACAAACTAGCCTTGTTTATACAATAGTTTGAAGCAATCTCTGCCTTCTGAGATGATTATTAAGTGAAATCAGCCTTCTGTTTGTATTTATCAGCTTCGCTGCCATAACAAAATACCACAGACTGGGTCACCTAAACAACAGAAATTGATTTTCTCACAATTCTGAAGGCCAGAAGCCTGAGATCAGATTGTCTGCAGGGTTGGTTTCTTTGAAAGGCTCTCTCTGTGGCTTGCAGGTGGCTGTCTTCTCCTTCTGTGTTCACATGGTCTTCCCTCTGTGTGCATCTGTGTCCTAATCTCTTCTTATAAGGACACCAGTTATACTGCATTAGAGCCCATCCTAATGACCTCATTTTAACTTAATTACTTCTTTATAGGCTCCATTTCCAAATACAGTCACATTCTGAGGTACTAGGGGTTAGGGCGTCAATATACTCATGGTGTGGGGGAGGAGTGGGGAAAACAGTCCAGCCTATAACACTATTTTTAGAAACTAGATAAATTATCACTCACAGCAGATGAATCCCATATGCTTGCTGGCTTGTTTCTGCCACAGCATGTTTCAAAGTGTTGTCCAGGACCACCTGCAATCGAATCACTTGGACTTTTAATAAAAATCAGTCTGCTCCAAGTCCTTGAGTCAGAATCTGGGGCAGAGGAGCACAGGGCCCTGGGATAAAGCCTACTTGTGTTTTACATTCATATGAAGATTTGGTTTAATTAAAGGGACTTGGGAAAAGCAAGGTAGCGAGGTATGCCACCTCCCAACCCCACTGCATCTCCACAGCCACTGCAGTCACCCCAGGTAAGGGCAGCCGAAAGAAGAGCGTGAGGGAGGGAGTCAGGCAAGTGTGAGTCTGAGCAGGGAGCGCTGTGTATCTGGGGCCTCCTCTAGTGTGGCTCATCGGAGGGCCATGAGACAAGCTCCTCTCCACTCTAAGTTGGCCTCCCAGTACCAATGAATGTCCCCACCCTCACCCCTTTCAGTAGATACTGAAATAGGGGACTTTGCAGTGTAGATGCCAGGAGAGGTTACAGGGGAGGCTGCCTACCCAGAAATGCCAGGCTGTGTTCCACAGCCTGATAAAGATTCTAGTCATTTCTCTTGGCGAGCATTCCCCTACCCCTAACCCCAGCTCCTGGCAGAACTCAAAGTTGTCCCTGCCCCTCAGAATGGTGGAAGACCTGAGCCTTGAAATAATGTTTAAGAGACAGGCAATAGTGGCAATTTTCCCAAGCCAAATGCTGAACCAGGGAGCAGAGGTTGAGGCAGGTTCACATAGTCACTGACTCTGCTCCAAAGCTTCCAGCGATGTGGGTAAGCTGGTGGGTCATTTGGCTTCCTGCAAGCTGATGTATGGGAAACAGGGTTGTCATACACATGGGTACAGCCTTTGAATCACGTCCCAGACAACCGCTGTGAGCCCTCTAGAGTGGGTGTCTGCTGCAGGTGTACGTGTGTGCGCACACCCATGTCCCACGCCTGTGTTAGGGTGGCCACCAGCCTCTCATGTCAAAAATTCCAGCAAAACAGCTGTTGAGTGGGACTCTAAATGATAGTGATTTTCCTAGCACCATGACAACAAGACACCATCAAAGCTAATGGTGCTAATCCATCCCTCGTCTTTCTCTGCTGGTTCCGGCTTAGATTTTGTTTCTTAAAATACTTGCCTGGCTGGCAAGGCAGTGACTCACCTGCACCAGGACTGAACAGAACAGGCAGGAGGTGCTTTCTTCTGAAGAGCTGTCAAGAGCCAATATAGCACCTGAGGTCTTTCATTTCACACGTTGTTCCTGTCAAGGGAGAGACATTCTTATTCTCTTGTCAAAGTTGGGATTGCCAAAGAAAGCAAAGTGGTCAGAATGTGTCAAACTTTGGCACTTGTATTAAACAGAGTTTGAGGAAATCATGCAGGTTTGGCTGAGAATCTCTTCCTCATCTTCCATCCAGTGCAAGATAGACCACATTTTTACAGAGAACTGTCAAAAAGGAAAGTTCACATTAGAGTCACTCAGCTCCACGTGCGTCCTCTGGTGGCATCTCTCTCAGTGTCAAATCCTGTTAGGACTCCACGAATTCTGAGTATTTCGATGATTTAAGTACTCTTCCGAAGGTGGTAATTTGGAAATTGCATTGTTGGTAAATTTGAATTAATAAAAAAGCAAAGTCAAGAATTTTATTGGCAATGAAAGTAGTTTACTGGTTATCTCTTAATTCCATTTGAATTCCACAGGCCATAAACTGTGGTATATTGCGAAATACCCTGAAGTCGGGTGTGGATTCACATCCTAGATTTGCTGCTTATTAACTGTGTGACTTTAGCCAAGTTACTTAGCCTCTCTGAGTGTCCATTTCCTCAGCTGTCAAAGTGGGAATGATACCATTTCCCCAATTATATTGCAATGAATATAACAAGACATCGTGAGTGTGAGAGATGCTAGGACAGAGGCTGGCCCATAAATGCTCATGTCTTTTCCTGTCTCTTGTTTTTTTCTGTAACTTAAGTGAGCATCATTTATAGCTAACTAATATTTTAATGTTGACACATTTCAGTAGATGGTTTTCCATACTTTTAGAATGTCGTAAATAATTCTCCAAGAAGTAGAAATGACTGGGATACAAACCCTGAGACCAGCAGTTGCCAAAGTCACAAGAGGTGATTTGCAGGGTTCAGACAGTGATGTAGGAGCATAGCTTCCGTTTTGACTTTCAGAGATTTGGGAGCAGTGAGTTGTAGTGCCCTTTGGAAAGGTCAGTAGAAATGCTCTGTGAAATGTGAAAAGCTGGGTGC